GAGAGAGAGAGAGAGAGAGAGAGAGAGAGAGAGAGAGAGAGAGAGAGAGAGAGAGAGAGAGAGAGAGAGAGCAAATGTGAGCTTTAAGACTATGGGCTCTGAAACAACTGGAAACTAACTCTGAAATGCTTGCTTCAAAAGCGTGGGAAAAATAGCCAACGGTGTGGTTGTATGTTGTGTTTGAATGTATGCTATGTTTTTAGAGTCTCTCTATCTCTACACAAACTTTCATAGCAGTAGTTATTCTAAAACATTATTCTCTTATGACATACAAAAGGTATACAACATATTACACTAGAGGAGAGAGAGAGAGAGAGAGAGCAAATGTGAGCTTTAAGACTATGGGCTCTGAAACAACTGGAAACTAACTCTGAAATGCTTGCTTCAAAAGCGTGGGAAAAATAGCCAACGGTGTGGTTGTATGTTGTGTTTGAATGTATGCTATGTTTTTAGAGTCTCTCTATCTCTACACAAACTTTCATAGCAGTAGTTATTCTAAAACATTATTCTCTTATGACATACAAAAGGTATACAACATATTACACTAGAGGAGAGAGAGAGAGAGAGAGAGAGAGAGAGAGAGAGAGTCGTGAATAACTGCTCTCACCGGTAGACCAGTGCTAAACTGATCCTATACTACAATATTGCTAATACAATGTCGTGTGTGTATTATATTCACCAAAAAAATATACTTTGCTTTCACAGTATTTTATGCCTGGAGTGTGAGTTTAACTTTTATTTTTCTCTCATTTCCACCACTCATACACTGTATTGAACTACAGAAGTATTATTCTCGATGTGTTATATAACAACAGTATTGGCCACAAATCAATAGTTTTGGTGTAATAGTAGTGTAATTGGGATTCACTTTTATTGCCACCGAAGACTACTCTATTGAAAGGAGAGAGAGAGAGAGAGAGAGAGAGAGAGAGAGAGAGAGAGAATCCCATTATAACATATACACGAGTGGCTGGCGTTTCTCCCATTGTTTTGTATCGCTCTTCGTGTGTATGCCATACAACATGTCATAACTACATGTGTTTGCATATGGTTTGCATGTCTTCATGTCTAGTTATCCGACCAAAAAAATGCTATTATTCTGTGGCACTCAACGAAATTTGCAATCTCTGTGTCAATACATTATATAATTTTGTTTTTGCCATTGTATTTACAAAATTTAAACATAATAGACATCACATAATAATATCATACCTAAAAAATAGCAAATTCTTAAATTATCGCAAAAATTGTTACTTTAAATATATTCAACAAATTTTATATTTCACGTGTAAATACAGTACAGTTAGAGATGTGGTATTCGTGTCTGAAATGATTGTTTTTTGAGATGCATAACAGACACCGGCGCTAAGAATAATAGGAATTTGTGTAAACGACTTGACGTTAACTTTATTTATATATGATTTGCCAAATGAAAGGTGTGGTTAATAGGAGTTATGTTCGGGTGCTTTATTGCATTGCGTGCCAATTAAAGGCACATTAATTTGTATTGCTTTATAGAGAGAGAGAGAGAGAGAGAGAGAGAGAGAGAATCCCATTATATATAACATATACACGAGTGGCTGGCGTTTCTCCCATTGTTTTGTATTGCTCTTCGTGTGTATGCCATACAACATGTCATAACTACATGTGTTTGCATATGGTTTGCATGTCTTCATGTCTAGTTATCCGACCAAAAAAATGCTATTATTCTGTGGCACTCAACGCAATTTGCAATCTCTGTGTCAATACATTATATAATTTTGTTTCTGCCATTATATTTACAAAATATAGAATCTAAACATAATAGACATCACATAATAATATCATACCTAAAAAATAGCAAATTCTAAAATCATCGCAAAAAATTGTTACTTTAAATATATTCAACAAATTTTCTATTTCACGTGTAAATACAGTACAGTTAGAGATGTGGTATTCGTGTCTGAAATGATTGTTTTTTTGAGATGCATAACAGACACCGGCGCTAAGAATAATAGGAATTTGTGTGGAAACGACTTGACGTTAACTTTATTTATATATGATTTGCCAAATGAAAGGTGTGGTTAATAGGAGTTATGTTCGGGTGCTTTATTGCATTGCGTGCCAATTAAAGGCACATTAATTTGTATTGCTTTACAATTTCACTTATCATTGAGATTCATACTGTAATATATTATGGAATATATGGCTAAATATACTGTATATAAAGTACAGAATATTTGATACAAAAACTCATTATTCAGTTTTCAGTATACATTGGAAGTTAAGTCTCGTTTGTAATCATATAATAATATATCTGTAATTGGTTTGCATTAAATGTAATAAAATTAATGTGATATAAAACCCACTAATTTTTATTACAACAATAAAAATAGATAGAGAGGAGGGGGTGGGGGTTGACGAACACATACCTTGATTATGCCTACTCGTCATGTAGTCTTCTTTGCAAACAAACCTATTCTCGTCGAGTATATAAAGCTCTTCTCCGGTCGATAATTGTTTTCGACAGACGAGACAAGTGAAGCATTTTAGGTGAAATACTTTATTGCGGGCCCGGCGTACCAGATCCGTGGGCAGTATGCCCTGTGAACAACCCGAACACTTTGTCCCAAAAAGTCTAGATGTGGTGCGAAAAATAAAACAAAATGGTAAATATTTAACTAATGATATTATATTGTGAATGAATGTCGAGATTTTTGTTTTACAAATTCAAATGTATGAATAAATCAAAAATGAAATATATATTTTGCATTCCTTACATACAATTCTCTATCTTTCTCTCCCAAACATTAAAACTCTATTAATTATATTTCGCGCAAATAATTTCAAAGTCAATCCCATCCGCAGAGGTATACATGAAAACCAGAGGCAAATTATTTGAGAAATGTTTGGCACCAAAAGAAAAAATATATATAATGTGCCACAAAATATGTGTTAAATGATAGTATTAAAAGGTATGGGTGTCTCTCAAACATCACATACGAATCAGTCATTAAATATTTTTTATACACAATTTTTTGGCAAAATTTCTCCACTTCTTTATACACAGAAAAAAATATCTCAAAAAAGTAGTCTTCGATTGTGTGTTACGAGTGACTGTCTGTCTGCCTGTCTATCAGTCATCGAGAGTGTGAGTGTACGTAATGTGTGAGGTATTGAGGACCTAATGATCAGTTGTCCCATTGATGTCATGATAATAATAGCGATACTTGTGTTTAGCATCACTTTGAATAATAATTTGCGGCCTTTTGTGCGGCACTCTCTGGTTTCCTGCCGACGCTCACCGACACTAGCAGTCAAGTGATAGCAACTCGAGTGTAGCGCACAGTAGTCCTGGTTTTGTCCCCTTTTTTTAACACACATTTCTTTTTGTCCATCATTTGTATTACGATTATTATTATTATTGTATCGCTTATTATAATATGTTTTCTCATTGAATTGACATTTGTATGAATGGTGTCGACAGTCGTGTGTATGTGTTAATGGTTATGAGGGGGTATAGAGAGGGTCGTCGGGTATGGGATGTGGGGTAGCGCTCGGCTAGTTTTAAACGGTGTTAAACAAAATGATGGTTTGAATTGGTATTGAATTTGGTATGAATTGGTATTTCGCCAAAACTGTGTACAACTCTAATGCTGTAAACCCTGTAAAGGGTGACGAGAAGATGAATGGCCTCACAGACCGGAACCGACCGAAAACCGGCCCAAAACGCTGTGTTCACCAATACGTCTAATTATAATGTATCTCAAAATCGCTATCTTTGAAATTCTTGTCGCAATTTTTTGCAATTCTATGGCCATAATCTCTCTCTCTCTCTCTCTCTCTCTCTCTCTCTCTCTCCTCTGTAGACGATAGTGTCGTTTCAGACGCCAGTGGATGAGTGGCGATACAGCGGAGGGTTAAGGGGTCTCTGGCACTGGGATTCATGGCATTCACGAATGCATGTCCACTGTATGGACAGATCCGGACTGTCAACGAACCGTTAACGCACTTTTGGCACTCGTTATACAGACTAGTCGTCCATCGAGTAGTAGTAATAATATTACTGGTCGTCGGCTATACTTAAATGTCACGTCTAATGAATGCCTAAATGTGGGCCTAAACTCCCTATTTATTCATTGACTCTCTTTATGTGTGGAGTATTTGTTTCGTCTTCTTCTCGGTTCACATTTTTCGTGGAAATGAACCAAACATTTGCCAACAGAAAAAACTTCTTGAGTTCATTTTGAAGGCATAATTTGTTGCCATTATTTGTATGAATGAACTATTTATCTGCGCTCTGTTTTCATTACGATCATTATTATTGTTATTATTACTGTTTCGATGGTTTTATTTTGATGGACTGAATGATGTGTGTGTTGTGGTTAAAAGACCCGTCACTTATGCATTCATTCCTCCGGCAAACTCTAAAAGCTATCCGTATTTTTTTGATAGAGGGGTAAGAGTCGTGTTTAAGCGTACGACTGGTAGCCATTAGATATATTACAGTGCATTACAAGCCATTACTACACATATGAATCTTAGTCGTGATTTTTGGCGAGTAATTCGCGTCCGACGGCAGAGGTATTAAACAATCATTTGGGGAGTGGAAGGGGTGCTCGACTGCCCAGAGCTGGTGCTTATATGAAGGTGTATGGGGTGGGCTGGCAGGCAGGCGAGCGAGCATTTGGGCCACAATAATGATCTCAACGGTAATAATATGGTAAAAACAATCATTAAGTCGATTATCGAGTGCCAGAGCGAGTGAGAGAGATATGTAGTCAGAGATATAAATACCGTATTATAATAAGCGGTGGAGAAAAACGAGTGCTTGTGTTGAGAATCAGAGAAGAAATAATAGTTTTTGTTATTCAACACCGAATTTTTACTACCGATTGTTGTGTTATATATTTTTTAGTCAAAACATTATGCAAACGGTTTCTAACTCTCAGATGTTTTTTAGTATATTAATTGAGGACCAGAAGCGCTCTGCAAAAAATAGTCGACTACTGATGGATAAGTCATCACAAACTCCACTATATATTTGATGTCAATTTGTGCCGAAAAATTCCAGTTGTTATTACATAACATAACTTTATAAATGTATATACAGTCGGGGGTCAGTGCACTACCAAATGGTATATCGGGAGAGCACAGGTAGTACTCCTTTGCCTTCCCTCTAAACTGTTGCTCCATTTGACGCAACTTTTAATACCGATTTAATACTCATAACTTATATTAAAAACGAGAAGAAAATCTCTTTTCACAGATAATCTCCTTTTCTCCCTATTTTGCTCTCTTATGTATACAACTCATGCATCTCTCTCTCTCTCTCTCTCTCTCTCTAACCGTTTTATTTATCAGTTTTCTAAATGTCACAATAAAAATATTTTACATTTTTCTCGCCTCTCATTCATTTCTGGCATAAAATCCAATGGAATTTATGAATAGAAATAAATAATTATCTCAATTCCTGTGTCTCTCTTATTTGGTAAACTAATCGCAAATTATGTGTTGTTTTTATATGTGTTTGAAAGACAATAATCGTTTTGCAGCGCAAATAATCTATTGATTTGTGTGAATGGCTGCACAAATAAATATATATAACATGAATACCGTATTTTGACATTTATAATTATGTGTTTTTTTTATATGTGTTTGAAAGACAATAATCGTTTTGCAGCGCAAATAATCTATTGATTTGTGTGAATGGCTGCACAAATAAATATATATAACATGAATACCGTATTTTGACATTTACTGAATGAAAAGTGTGTGTATTTAACAAATGGTAAAATATTGTTTGCGTAGACATTATAAAAAATTATTAAAGGAAAAAGAAATTATCTCAAAAGGAAAAAAATAATTTATATTCAAAAATCATATCTTAAAATCAGTGTTTTGTGAAATGAAGAATATGATTGCTTTTGACTCAAAATCAATACATTTTGTCACAAAACTTAAAATTTAAGTTTATTTTACTTTTGGCCAAAAGTATTTTTTGTGAGCACAAACGAAAAACTAATTTTCTAGAATTTAAAAAAATAATCATGAGAGAGAGAGAGAGAGAGAGAGAGAGAGGCAAAAGTAATCGTGGCGTTGATATATATATTTAAGACTTAACGATAATATGATATTTTTGTGCATTTTTTAATGACAAAAGCGATACATAAAAGCGTCCAAAAAGGCCTGTAATGGTCTTTAATCTGCAATTATAACAATTGACCGTTTGATGACTTTATTTCGATTATTATTATCTTTTTATGTTTTCGTATTGAGTTCTTCGCTATTTTCCATCCGTTTAAATGGCATTCAATTCAATCCTCACAAGCCTTAGCCCTAAATGCTATGTTTTTTAATGTATTTTCGTTTTATAATAGAGTCATTAGTTTTATGTATGTGTTTATATATCGTTTGATTAAATTATTATTACATTTCATTTTTGATTGGAAATAATACGACAATTATTGTCGACAATTGGATCGATAATCACAATGAGAGAGAATATAACGAAAATTACATTTTTAACGTGTGATTGAATTATAATATAAATACTCATTTGCTTTAATATTGTAATAATCATATTATTATAAGTATTAACGATATTATATATCATTGTTATTATTATTATTACATAAATTGTAAAATTTGAGTTTTGCAAAGAAAAAAGTAAAATAAAATGAATTTTTTGTTTTGTAAACAGAAAACGAGAACTAATTTTTTCCAAAACTATTATATCTGAAAACATACAAAAGTTTCGCTTTAAAAAAACCCGAAGCCTTAAAGCAAATAGAAATTTAAATTTCTTGCGAAGAAAACTATTTTTCGGGATTAAAAGTAAACAAATATAGTCATCACAACACAACTCATTGTTTTGTTTTTCTCTCAATTTTCTAAATCGTTTGCATTAATCTTATCGAAAGAAATATATTTTTTATTTGAAAGATATTTCATGTATTGATGCGGAAGTGTTTGATGGCGTGATTCGCTTTATTACTTATATATATTTCTATGTTATAAGTATTTATACCGAAAAACAGTGGTATTTCTCTCATTCAACACAAGTAGTTGTCTGTCTATCTGTCTGTCCATAACTTATTCGCAAAAATTATAGATTACAGCAATTTATTGTATTTTAGAGTTGAAATTATTTTGAAGCTATTCTTCAAACATTAAGTACACGTCTTTGAATAGAGGAGAGAGAGAGAGAGAGAGAGAGAGAGAGAGA